ATCAATTCGATCACTAAACATCCAAACTCAGCCGTTCACAACTCCGACAACTCAAAGATGACTTAACAGAGTGAAATGCGTCGGCATGTTTATAAAATCAATAACGCAATGCATCATATGATGGCTGTGTATGTAATTTGATTACCTATCAGACACGTTGCAGCGTTACATTTCGTATAGAACACAAGAAAACCCCTCAAAAGTGCATCTCGATTTTCCATATATCTTCTCTTCTGTTTTGCACAACTAAACGGCGTCAAATTTCGTTCAACGAAAGAATCATGTCTTCTCCTATCAAGAACGTCATTGTTATCGGCGCCTCCGGTGCCGTTGGGCGAGCCGCCATATCTGCTCTTCTTTCCACTGGGTTCAAAGTCTCGGCACTTATACGAGAATCCTCAAATGCCACATTTCCACCAGACGTCAATGTCCACAAAACCGACTACTCTCTCCAGTCTCTCCTCAACGCTTTCAAAGGACAAGACGCGATAGTGTCCGCTATTGCAACAGGATCTGCGGGGCAACAAATGGCCATTATCGACGCAGCAATCATTTCAGGCGTCAGACGCTTCATACCTTCCGAGTTCGGCATTGATACTGCTGACCCTAGAGCCGGTGACTTCGTTCCGGCTCTGAAAGTGAAACAAGATACTGTGAAGTATCTGCAGACGAAAGAAAGTTCCGGCCTCTCCTGGACTGCCATCGTTGTAGGGTCTCTCTTTGACTGGACTTTTCAATATCCCGGCTTGATGGGATGGAACTTACCTCAACGTAAAGCCACAATTTTCGACGGAGGGGAATATGAGTTCGAAGCCACCAACCTGTCGCAGATGGGTTTGGCAATTGCAGCTTGTCTGAAGCCCGAATATTTCGAATCGACCAAGAACCAACATGTCTACGTGAACTCGTTCACAGTGACCCAGAGTCAGATCTTAGCTGGGTTTGAAAAGCTGCTTGGGTATAAGTTGGAAGTCGAAGGTGGGAATGCCGCGGATCTTGGAGTACAGGCATTGGCTGCGATCGAGCGAGGTGAAGGACGAGCTGCACATTTGAACACGATTGTTGCGGCGATCTATGGGAATGGTGGGCTTAACAACTACTCAAAGACAAGAGGGCTGTGGAACGGGAAGCTTGGCTTATCGGAGGAGAAATTAGGGGACAGTTTGGCAAGGATTGTAGATGGACTTGGAGATGGCAAATAGGTAGCAGAAGTGACTTCATCAAGTACTCTCGTGTTGTATAGAACGTTGAACTCACTGTCATAGGAAGAAAGCAGTAGAATAAGGAAAACAACCAGCTGATCATCATGCATATCCAAAGATCCGTAACTGGGCCAGGAGCTGTGGCAGGGTCATGACACGCTTGACTTGATGGTGTCTTGAATTAATCTCTTGGAATTTTGTCGATTGCTACATTTACCAACAGATTGCTTGCCTTGTATCCAACGATAAAAGCAGCACGGCCTGCTTTGTTTACACAAACCGAGACTAACGTGCAAACGTCCTGTTGCTGCTCCTGACTTTGCTCCTCGGCACGGACAGGAGAAAGGACCGTTGTTCCTCGCAGCCATCCTAGCGGCAATAGGACTTCCTAATAATCGCTGTAGAAGGTGAAAATCTTCCTGGAAATGAAGACATCTCCTGTTTCATGCTCCAACTTACTCTACTTCAACGAAAGCAAAGGTCAAATGCTCGAACCGATGTAGTCGTGGGTCAGCAAATAATGGTAGAAGGCAGCCTTGCTGCTATAGGAACGTTTCTGTGGCTTCACAGCCGTTGAGCGATCTGACTTGATAATGAGTATGTTAGCTGCAAAGCCCACGTTCTCAGGGGTGACTTAAGCCGCAACAAAAAGACCAGCTTTCTTCAAGGTCTGCCATAGTATTCTGTGCTAAAGATGCTGATGGTCATGTACCGATTTAGTGTGGTTGTCGTTGCTAACAATAAACAAACCAGTCGCACTACGGAGGTACCAGGGCTAAGTGTTGTCTCACCGCTTTCATTCTGCCTACACGAATCCCTTGTTCTGCCGCGGGCGGTGAGACAAAAGTTACCGCCCTCTGTAGTTACCTTGTAACTTCATCAGCCTGAAGCTCAACTTTCCTTCACACTTCATTCAGTGAGGTAACATTACAAGTATTCTGAACCACTGCATCACATCATGGCACGTCCTGTTCGCAAAGTGAACGTCAACAGCAAGGTCACCACTAAATCTGCAACTGCTGTCCAAGTCACCAAGGGGCCTTCGACAACCCGCCCATTGAAGAAGAAACCCACTGCAGTCGACAGTCAGTACCCATGCACAACCTGTGCACTCGATAGTGGCCATGCATGCTAAATTTCCTTGAAGATCCCAAATATCGGGCCTCGAAACTTCTAGCATCCATACCTGTCACAGAAGAACAGGCACCCACGAAGAAGCGACCAGCACCGACCAAGAAACGCCAACCACCCGACGACGAACCCAATCCGAAGCCTGCAAAAAAATTGAAAGCTGCAGCACTCAATATTCCACCGGATGAGAAGCTGGATGTCTATGTTTGCGGTGATGGAGAGTCTGGTGAACTTGGTTTAGGGCCAAAACCTCTCGATGGAAAGAAGGCTACAAATGTCAAACGCCCTCGTTTGAATAAACTTCTTGATGCCTCCACTGTCGGAGTGGTTCAAATTGCAGCTGGAGGCATGCATTGTGTCTCTCTTACTCATGATCAGAAGATCGTGACGTGGGGCGTTAATGACAACGGCGCACTCGGCCGAGATACAACCTGGGAGGCCTCGACAAGAGACATTGATTATGAATCAGGTTCAGAGGATTCTGATGAGGCCGACTTGAACCCCATGGAAAGTACACCTATCGCTATCCCCGCGGAAGATTTCGGCAAGCCCGTCCCAACCTTTGTCCAAGTTGTGGCTTCAGATAGCGCCAGTTGTGCGCTTACAAGTGAGGGGTTGGTCTATGGATGGGGAACTTTTCGCGTAAGTCTGACACAGAAACTATTGCGTACTCTGCTAAATTTCATAGGCAAATGATGGGATTATGGGGTTCTCTACGAATGACGCCATCGAAGCCGAAAAGACAAAGAATCCCGCAAAGAAATTGCAGCGCAAGCCCATGCCTATCCCTCTCCTAAAGAATATCATATCACTTGCAGCGGGAAACAATCATATGCTAGCTCTCGACAATAAGGGAAAGGTTTTCGCATGGGGAACAGGAGAACAGAACCAGCTCGGTCGCCGTGTCATAAAGCGAACTCAGTATGGAGCTCTTACTCCTTGTCGAGTTGCCCTTCCGAAGATGAAGCGAATTGCGTGTGGTTCGGACCACTGCTTCGCAATTGATGAGCGCGGCCTAGTATATGCTTGGGGATCCAATAACTTCGGCCAGACAGGACTTCCAGTCAGGATTGGCCAAGGGGACCCAACAATCTTGAAGCCAGGTATAGTCGAAGATCTTCGGCCTTACAGAATCCGAGACATTCAAGGCGGCGAACATCACTCGATTGCATGTACCGAGGATGGTCAGCTGCTGATATGGGGCCGTTGCGACGATGGCCAAGCTGGCATCAAGCTGGAGACTCAGCCACGAGATAAATTTGAGTACGACGAACGCGATAAGCCACGGATTCTGCAGCCTAGTGTGATTCCAAACATTCATGCAGCATCGGTGGCTGCTGGAATCGATGATTCGTTTGCGATCACGTTGGAAGGGAAAGCATACTCCTGGGGATTTTCTGCTAATTATCGCACCGGTCATGGAACAGACGACACCGTGATGGAGGCCACTTTGATCAGTGGGGGCGATGCCAAGGACAAGAGGCTGGCTTACGCATGTTGTGGAGGACAATTCTCTGTACTCGCGGGTCCTGCTGAAACTTGAGAGGCATACACTCATTTCACGTTATTTGTTTTGTCTCCTCCCCTTCGGCTCAAATTTGGTACTCGCTTACACTGAGCGTGGGGAAAGCCAATTCAAAGAGGAGGCTAGCTCGAGATGACACTCTATCTAAAATCATGTATAACTGAGTCTCCATGCATTTTTCATCTTTTGATATATAGCCAGCCAACTGAATACAAAAGTATTGTGATTGAGCTATAGTATGTTTTGGTTTGCTGAAGCCTTACATAGGCAATAAGCGCAAATACGTGCTAGCTGTATGCCACTATTGACTCGCAAGTTCTACGTCACATCATACTATTTACGCAAACCATGGATTAAAACGGTCGTTATGTAGGGAGTCGTGAGAAGTTGGGCGAAGCCAACATTGAGGGGCTGTGCCATCTTGCAGGCAGGCGGCTGCAAGGCTGTATCGCAGCGTTGCTTCCTGCAGCAACCAGCTGCTACTCGTTTTTTCAAAATAACAGCTCCATTTATCGATTGTTTGTTTAAGTTGAAAAAAATTATTTATTCATTATTAATTTACCTAGGTAGTACAACTGGCCGCATAGTTAGGTGGGAGGCCGCTATACCTCCCGTTGGAGTACAGCCTTTAGAATGTCCTCATCATGCCGCGACTAGACTTGAACCACAATCGGATTGGCTTTTGAGTATCCCCCCAAAATCTTCTCATGTAGAACTTAATCGCTGCACACGGGCAAATCAAATCAGCCGACTAATTACCCACGCCTTGAACGCGACACACGTCTCTGAAATTCTGGCCACCTAGTCGACCTCATCCAATATTAACTATCAACACTGGGCGTGTTGCTCCCACCTGGACCCTCACGACCCTTACACCCTAAATCAAAACGCTTATTCGCTCTGCTTGTCACTTTATTAACATTTGCTCTGTTTGTTGTCTTTCTTATTTCCGTTCGCTTATGGTTTATTACGTAATTGCTAGGTCTCATGAAAGTGGGTGAGGTTGAAAAATGCTAGTTGCTAGTGCTAGTAAGTACGGAAATAAGCAAATTATCGACGTGACACCATTTTAACTGGTTCAACCTCGCTCCAGTATGTGTCCTGAGTTCTTCCACTGAAATCAATTACTAACCCTCTCTTTCGTAAAGATGGCGCAATGGTAGCGCGCGAGACTTCTAATCTCACTCAGTGAAGTCTACATCTCGAGGCTGTGGGTTCGAGTCCCACTTGGAGTGGCACACCCCTGGGCAGTATCTTTTTGATGTTTTGAGATAGATTCAGAAGTATATACATGTCTCGGGAGTTACTTGAGTTGAAGTTTTCCCCGCTGAAGCTCTACCCTATTTTAGCCGAGACCACGTGATTTCTAGCTAATGAGATTCAAGGTGCTGATTCCGAAGATTCTCTCCTCTCATAGGCTAATCACATTACTGTGAGAATCTAGAAGCAGCACCCTCTAGACCACTCCAGTCCTCCCTTAATCCAGAGTCTCTATTTCTCCCTCTATCTCTGTTTCACCGTGTACCATATTCAACTGCTAACATATGCTCTCCATCCTTTTCCCGTCCTCTCGCATCTACTTTCTGCTAAGTACCCCTACCTGAGTTTTGGTACACTGTATAAAACTTTTGCCCTCACCAGCCAGAAAATTAGTTTTCTTTGGTCTGCAGGAGTGGCAAACAGTATTTTTTTGCTCTTCTCCCAAGTAATTTTTTGGGGGTGCATGCATCCGTCCGTCCATCCAGTACAGTTTAATTCTCGCTAGTGGTGACGAGCCGGAACTCTAGTCTCTCAGTCTCTCTCCAGAGAGGTGTGACTTGTGGACGGATTATTAAAACTCTTTCTCAACATCGCCCCTTCTTCACCTCCCTCTCCTTTCATTCATCTTCATGAGACTATTTTGAGAATTTACACTACGGCCAACCCTTTTTCTCACAGGCAAGGCGTTTTCATAGCCTGTGAGCAATTGCGCCACATCATCATTTTGGAGTGTCCTGCAACAGCCCTTGCCCTTGCCCTCTTCTTTTGGCCTCTCTGGTTCCGTTGTGGTAATACAGACAACGGCCAGCCCCAACTTCACCCCTCTACCAATACCAGGCCAAAATCACCCCTGGTGCCAGATGCAGATGCCAGATGCCAGAGGCACTCTACATCCGGGACCTTAGTCTGCAGGAGACAGGCGCACACCTCTGGTGCAATATCTGAAGCCCTCGACGCTGTTGAGCTGCTAGGCCCAACAGTGCTGATTGGTGACAAACATGCCTCGTAGATGTGTCCAGAGGCTTGCTATCTGCCGCAAAGGGCCAGATGAGTGGAGTATCAAGTTTCAAACATGCATGCATGTCCCTCTGATAGCTGTAGCCAGCCTTTCGGATAAAAGCCATGAGGCTGACAAGCATGCCAACGCTAGAACAGCGTGAGGTTTCCTGACCAGATCGAACTGCCACCAATAATGCGGTGCAGATGTCTAAGATTAGCATTGGTATTGCATACCGCCTCCATTAGACTCCCCAGCTCCCGTCACGCTTGGGGGTTTCCAGGCAGTCGTTCAGCGCCCAATAGCTGTCGGTAGTTGGGCCAGAGCTTAGCGTGAAGAAGCGACGTTGTTCGGCCGTTAGAGGCGGGATATCTCCCCGATTGCCTTCTCTACCTCACATTAGTACTGAAGGGCCCAGAAACGTTAAAATTGGCTCAAAGACGTCAAATACTGCAAGACTCCCCTCTCTTTGCGAAATCCTTCTGCCACATGTGTGAAGCAACAAGAAATTCCATTTCCGACATCCTTCACTCCAAGGCAAAATCATCGACTAGAAAGATAGCTATTTCGCCTTTCTTTTTGAATTCCGTTCGAAAATTGCAGCTCTCCCTGGCTTGCCATTTAATAGTACGTCAAATTCCCATAAAAGACTTTGAGGGTATTCTCTTTGTACTGACTACTCCTATTTATTTCTTTAGTCTCCGAAATGGCTTCTTTAAGGGAAGTCATATTTCAGTTGAAGGCCATTGTGGATAACCCTGTGCAGTTGGATGCTCCACTGGAATGGCCAATTCCAGGACTCCGCAGCTGCTTGAAACATTGTTCTTTTAGCAGACTCAACGAGTGGCATAAGAGAGTGCACAGAGAATACGACAACCAAATGGCCCAAGACCCAAGTTTCTATGAGTTTAAAGACGATGTTTGGGGTTGTTTGATCCGAGCCTCAGAGAAATCCCATCAACTGAGACTGTGGACTAAGTGTAAATTGCCCCCCAAGACTCGGTTCAACTTCATCAGTTATCGTCATCTCGTTACGGACGCTCTTGCAGATGTTCTCAAGGCATTCGAGCATTTTTCAGCAATGGATGGGAGGCCAGTAGGCATCGCATTCAAATACATCAAGAAGTGCTACGAGTTTATGATTCGGCTAGGCAGTATGTTGTACCCTCATGGAGACGGTGACAACTGGTACGCCCAACATAAAGAATTCCTCGTCGATGCGAACCTCGACGGATTCACTCTCAATGGCACCGTCGTCATGAAAGTGGCTGCTGATCCTGTTCTCGCCGCTCTGATGGCCACGATGCCGGGATCATGTTTGCCATTGTATCCACAACCACCCGTGGTTTCTTTGACCAAAGGCCATATGGACCACGACTCAGCAGAAATCAGTATTGGGCATAATAGCTGGTAAGACGGCCTATCCACTTAAGAATGGCTCAAAGTTCTGACTCGCCAGGTTTCCCGATGACCACTACCGTCTGTGAACTCGAAACAGTTTTATGTCGACGAAAGCATCAATACCTTCCAACAAACCTTCGTCTTCATCTCAGACTAATCAATACAACTTTTGGGAAATCCGAATCAGTAAGAAGGCGCCCTAGCGATTTCGAGGAGGAATTCGCATATTGCAGAAAATACTACCGCCCTGAATAGAGTTGACGACAACATCTATAACCTGCAGAGCCACCATGCAAGCGTCAATATCCATTCATGTCTCCACACCTACTGTTCCATCTAATCTACATCTACTTCATTCCAACAACGATCTACATTCCGAAAGAATTCGGGAACCACCGTCTTAGCCAGGGGAGTCGAGTGCGATTCTAGAAAATGGCTGAATCAATTCCTGGTTAGCATGATCGATCCTTCTTGAAACAAAAAAAAACAATTTTCCACCGATCTGTTCGAGAAATGCAGTCAGATCATCCCCCAATCCATAGCGACATGCATGCATCGCTTAACACAGCGCTGGGGTAATACCGAGGTTAAGCCTATGTAGTGCAGTACCACAGGCACTGAATCCAGAGCCTGCTGAATCTACACATTCTGAGGGGATACATACTTACAGTAGCTTTCAGCGTACCTGTCTGATCATATTTCATTTCCAAGATCTGTCAATCTCAGCAGATTGATCCAGAGGACCCCCAACACACACAGCTTATTCAGCATGCAAGATACTTCTCATTTGGCAGCCTTCGCACCACAAGCTTGCAGCATCTAGCAGACAGTTCACTGAAACTGCAATACCAACGCCACTATCACATTGTCGCTGCTTCGAGTTACTGCTTCACAGCTCCTTTTGCATGGCTGACGGATCCCTCCCCGACCAACCCCAGCCACCTGGTCAATGTCACCTCTCCGACTCCAGATTCCCGCCTACCAAGGAGAGAAACAGAGATCTTCTCGCATGCATGTATGTCCCCCCATCTGTCGATACCAAGAGAGCATTGCTGTGCACGGGTGGCTGTCATCGGGTTGCCGTTTCGAGTATCTACCGGCTAAAGCGGTAACTGCGCTTCGGTTGTTTTCCAGCTCTGTAGTAAGCCACTTGGGGTGGGGTCGCCATTTGGAGTTTGCATTGTGGTGACAGAAACCTGGTTAGCTGGGCCACAGGGTGTAATCGAGATGAAGCCCACTGTTACTTCGAATAGGCAGATATGCTCTTCCACAGATCAAATTTCATGGTTGATGAAAATGCTTCCAGACATAGCTTATTGAGCTGAGCGTATAAACATTTCAAAATTTCCGGATCGCCTGACTCTTGTTCCCGATGAGAAACTGCTTAATCCATCAAAGACCTGCAGTGTGCCAATATCAAACGATATTAAAAGCTCGATGTATGTCTCGGGCGACCTGGGACAAGGAAATACAGGCATCGATTCCGTCGACCTATCTACAATGTTATAAAGTCCTTACCAATCAGCTTCTTTCTTGCAGATCTCATCACCTTCATGGACATCACCCGCATGGAAATGGCGATATTGGTTCAAACAATCCCATCCAGCTAAGAATCGCATCGAGCTCCACCACGCTGACGTCGGAGAGCGTCTGTCGGGTAGGCACCCAGCTCAGTTATTATGCTCATTTTGGAAGAGCTGCTCGGCACTCCCTTACCAACCGTGGTCAAATCCCAAACAAACAATATACGCATGAGAGTCGAATCATATCAAAATCATTGCTCAATGATAGGTTAATAGCCAACATCAGTCAGATGGCATCAGTCATGAAAGGGACAAGTACGAATACACAATCATCAATGCGAATATCGGTCCGGACCCAGCTGAGCCAGTGCTGCTTGCTTAAAGCACAGTATTCATTGAGGCACTACAAGAGGGAGCAGTACTTGATGTGGTGTAGAGACTCCTAAGATCTAAAAATGCAAGTACCCAAGAAGCCCAAACATAGGAAGAAACTAATGGCACAACAGGAGCTTCCAGACTCGATCGGCAAGATCTTCTCCTCTCTTCCCAAGTCTCAAACCCCCGAATAACAGGTTGGGATAACCAGCCATTTGCCGCATTACGGTTGTCGGAGATCACGGTCTCAGTATCTAAGAATCGTTAATATGCTGTCTTGCATGAGGTGGGTTGAGGAACACCTACAGGCTGAACAGTCACAGTACTGGTCAGAGTAGTTCTTGATGTCAGAGTCGTTGTTCTGCTCTGGGGTCAGCTTCTCTATGTCCTCTCAACCATTGAGGGGCAACTCACGGCTCTACGGAAGCCTCAGTTAAGGTCGCTGCTGTCGTTCTGGTATGCTGTCAGCTCAACTCCATTCATACTTCACATAGACTACTCACGGCTCCACCGAACCCCCGACCAAACTCAACGTCTTCGTAATGGTCGAAGTATCACCCAAGACTGTACTAATTTCGGCCATACTTTGATTGATGGTAGACGCAACAGTTGAAGTCGTGGCATTTGGAGACATAGTGGAATACTCGACGATGGTTGAGAGGATAAAGTTGCCGGCTGA